AACGAAAAATATGTTTTCCTAATTTATCAAGAAAGAGATAAAGTTATTTCTCCGAATCTGTTTTCGTCCGCATGCCGAACTCTCGATAGACAAAAAAAAACTTTTAGGAGAGAAGAAATCCAGACGTTCCATTATCACCGAGGAAAATATCTCCATTTTCTCTCCCTGTCTCTGTCTCTGTCTCTCTCTCTCTGTGTCTTCCAGCTGATATTTCATTTTAGTTTAACCCTTTTCTTTTTCTGCTTAGAGTAAATGTTTAACCAAACCACAGCCTCAATGCCACATATCTATCTATCTATCTATCTATCTATCTATCTATCTATCTATCTATCTATCTCAGTCTGCTAATATCTATCTATCTATCTATCTATCTATCTATCTATCTATCTATCTAAGTCTGCTAATATCTATCTATCTATCTATCTAAGTCTGCTAATATCTATCTATCTATCTATCTATCTATCTATCTATCTATCTATCTATCTAAGTCTGCTAATATCTATCTATCTATCTATCTATCTATCTATCTAAGTCTGCTAATATCTATCTATCTATCTATCTATCTATCTATCTATCTAAGTCTGCTAATATCTATCTATCTAAGTCTGCTAATATCTATCTATCTATCTATCTATCTATCTATCTATCTATCTATCTAAGTCTGCTAATATCTATCTATCTATCTATCTATCTATCTATCTATCTATCTATCTAAGTCTGCTAATATCTATCTATCTATCTATCTATCTATATCTATCTATCTATCTAAGTCTGCTAATATCTATCTATCTATCTATCTATCTATTCATCTATCTATCTATCTATCTATCTATCTATCTACGTTTGGATAGCTAGCTAGATAGATAGATAGATAGCTATCCAAACGTGTTTGTTCCTATTTCTAATTTTATTTCCTACATTTTCCTACATTTTTTGTTTCCTTTCTCGTTTGATTTTTCTTGAAACAAGTGTCATCAGCATCCTCTTCATTGACATAAGAAAATCAATCTATCTATCTATCTATCTATCTATCTATCTATCTATGATGGCCACCATCTCAGATTTTGGTGAAATTTTAGTATGATGTAACCATCTATGAAAAACTAAAAACCCTAAACTTTTAGTTTCCTTAAACACTTATTTCAGGAGTTATGGGCGTTTGAAACTTCTCAATTTTTGCTGATTTCAAAATAGCACGATTTACCAAATTTTGTACTTCATAACTTTGCAGTCTAAGAAGATACCTAGTTGATATTTGATAGTCGTATAGTCTAATATATGAGGGAAACACTCGATTTAGGGATCGTTTAGACACTGTATCGATATGATAAACAGGATCCCACTTCTAAAAAACAAATTCATATTTTATAGATATATAAATATATATATATATAGATATATAAAGATAATCTAAAGCACGGGTCGACAACCTTTTGTTGACTATATGCTGATTTAGTGTTTTTAAAACCCTAAGTGTGCCAAAAACATACGTATATTTATACAAGCCAAGGTCAATATACTTGTTCTACAATATATAAATTACATAGTAATATATAGTATATATACTTAAATTGAAACAACGGAATATCTTCTTTGCGTTGTAATAGTTATTGGTTCGGACTTAGTGATGATATTTGCGGTTGCGTGCCATTGGAAATTGCTTGTGGTGCCATGTGTGGCACGCGTGCCACGGGTTGCCGACCCATGGTGTAGTGCATCATGTCCTGAAAAGAAAAAGATTGAAAAGAAAAGGAATGGATATTTTATTTATTAACCCGAGAGATTTTTATTACTTAAACATTATTTTTAGTGTAGACTCGTCTTTGTGTAAAACAAGGGTCGGCCACCTTTTGTTCACTGTGCCGACTTAAGGTTTTAAAATCATTCAGTGTGCGAACAGCCTACGTCATTTTATACAAGTCAAGGTCAATATACCTGTTCTACAATATATTTTATATAGTAATTTGTAGTATATATATATATATATATATATATATATATATATATATATATATATATATATAAGCGCAGGTATGCAGAAAATAGAAAAAAAGGAAATATGTTGGGTGCATAATCCGGAGTTCCTTAGTATTTTTTTTTTTATTTTTAAGAAGACAGTGCTCCATACAGAAGTAGAGTTTATATTATAATATTTTTTTTTGTTTAAAAATATGATTCCTACGTACATAAGAAGTTCTCATGTTTCAAAACGAGAGCCGAAACCATCCAAATAATTATTAAAATTAATTATTAAAATTAAAATTAAAATTAAGTTGAATAGAGGTGTTTAGTCCCGTTTCATATTCCTAAAATTTCGCTTGAAGATGAAACGGGACTAAACATCTCAATTCAACTTAATTTTAATAATTATTTGGATGGTTTCGGCTTTCGTTTTTGAAACATGAGAACTCTTATGTAGCGAAGGAAACATATTTTTAAACAAAAAAATATTATATATATATATATATATATATATATATACTTTAGTATATATTAAAATTGAAACAGCTAAATTTGCGTTGTAGTTGTTATTGGTTCGGACTTCGTGATGTCATTTGCGGCTGCGTGCCATTGGAAATTACTTGGCGGGCTACGTGCGGCACGCGTGCCATAGGTTGCCGACCTCTGGTCTTGAGAATGTTAATGTAGAAAAATGAGTTCCTGTCCTTCAAATTTTATCTATTTTGTTTTTTTTTAAGTAGTTCTCGGCTTGCATCAAAAGACATTTCATTAATTTCAACCATATTAAAAAAAAAGTTTAAAAAACCTGACATGTTACTTAACTATTGGTTACCATATAAGTCGCTAACTTGTAATACATAATTTGAAAACCGGCCACAGAATTTCTGTTTGATTAAAAGAAAACGGAAATATCAAAAAGTGTACTTCCTCGGTACAGACGGTCTAATTATGTATCTGTAATCAATGTATCCAGGCTTTTTACTCTTAATGAATGACGTCATTCTTTTATGGGAGCACTGATAGCACCATAATTATATTACACCATAACGAGCTGATGATATAGAATTTCCGCCAGACAATAAAATGAGGACGAAGGTAATTTTGAATGCGAATGAGACGTGATTTCTGACGAGGAACTTGAAGGTAAACAAGAATATAACGAATCATTTCGAAGAGAGAAACCAGAAACACGGAAAGGTGGATGAATTGAATATTTTTATATTTTAAGAATTTCTTTTTTTTTTTTTTTTAAAAAGTTGGTTCTCTGTGTCGCGCCAGAAGGTTTTTCTCGCCTGATTCCATTCTACAAATTTACTATTCGTCGTTGTATTGAATACTGTTGCCATATATGGTCTGGTTCCCCCGCTGTTGATCTCGAAATCCTAGACAAAATCCAAAGCTGGATATGCAATGTTATAGGTCCTGGCCTGGCATCTCGACTTCAGTCACTTTCTCACAGACGTGATGTGGCTTCCCTCTGTCTTTTCTACAAATATTTTCATGGCAACTGCTCTATCTAGTTTCACTGGTTCCCAAACTGCATGAATTTAAGCGTGCTACTAGGTTGGCCTCTCAGTCACCCTTTCATTGTCGAAACGGTTAAATGTAGTCGTCTCTTCTACTCCAACAGCTTCATCTCTCGCACTTTCGAACAGTGGAACTCCCTTCCTCTTACTTGCTTCCCTGATAGCTATAATCTCAAAATATTCAAATGTAATATCAATCGACATCTTCTGATGCCTTGATCCTGATCCCTGTCCTTCTCTTTATCCTTTTCCCAAACAACTCCTCTTTAACTTTGCTCTCACTCTCTGTAACCCCAGGCATGCTAGAGGCACTCCCGCCTTGCTTGGGGTGAAAGAAGGGATTATGAGGAGGTACGGCGAAGTAATGGATAGCGGCTCGGATTGAGCAATCGGAGAACCGAGTTCGATTTCCAGTCGGATCCATTACATTTTACGTGCTAATACCTTTGGGGAAGGTATGAATTCTTTTCTTCTCCCCCCAGCTATGGGTAAATAGTAAACTGGGTTCTTTAGCCTTGGGTGACAACCAGTCTAGGAGAAAATAACTCTGCATTCAAAACTGTATGTATCCCATATCTAAGGGGAGAAGAGGCATATTCATACCTAATCAGAATTTGATAAACAAACAACAAATTATAATGTGGGTATAAAATAGGGAATCAATTCCATATTACAATCAATATATATACTGATCCCTCACTTTGTCGCCATTGTTGTTTACATACATCTGTATTCCAGAGAATGTAAATAAACTTGAAAGACATGCCGACAAGCAATTATAATGTAGATATAAAGAGGGGGATCAATTCCGTATTACAATCAATACATAGACTGATCCCTCACTTTGTGATCATTGTTGTTTCTATACGTGTATTCCAGAGAATGTAAATAAATCTGAAACACATGCCGACAAGAAATTATAATGTGGATATAAAGAGGGGGATCAATTCCTTATTACAATCAACATATGAACTGATCCCTCACTTTGTGGCCATTGTTGTTTCTATACATCTATATTCCAGAGATTGTAAATAAATCTAAATCTAGCTTATCAGTATTCCATTGATTGATTGATTTGTTTTTTTACGTCTTATCAACCCTTTGCAGGTTTTTATTTAAATCGGGAAAATATTTTTTGATCGTAAGAATTTTTTTATTTGTAGATAATAATGGTTTAGTGATACAGGTCTTACTCATTAACCCATAGCCGAGGGAGAAGATGTGGAGTAATACCTGATCAAAATTTGGCAAATAAGAAATTATAATGTGGATATAAAGTGGGGGAGTAATTCTATATTACAAACAATATGTAAACTGATCTCCCACTTTGTGCCCGCGATAGTTTCTATACATTTATACGCCAGAGAATGTAAATAAATCTAAAAGACATGCCTTGTAGCTAATGCCTTGTCGCGGTATTTCAACGCGATATGGCCGTAAAACGGAAATGAAAAAAATAACAGGAAAGTTCAAAAAAATTATATAATTCGATTAGACCACCCGCACATCCAATCAACTGGTATTCCCAAGCGGTCACCCATCTACGTACTGACCAGACTTAACGTTGCTTAACTTCGGCGATCGTACATGAACCGGGTTTTCAACGTGATATGGTCGTAATACGGCAAATGGAAAAAATAACAAGAGATTTCCATAAAGTTAATATAATTCGATTTGACCACCGGCACATCCAAGCACCTGGTATTCTCAAGCGGTTACTCATTTAGGTACTGACCAGACTTAACATTGCTTACCTTCAGGTGATCGTACGTGACGTAGGTCCTAAGAAACAGGAAAATATCATTTGAAACAACAAAAAAGCTTACTTAACTGTTCCATAATATCGGTCCTTCTGGCAATGAATGCTGGACAATCTCCTCATAGAAATGTAGTTCCTCAAAAGCCAAGTTTTCAGAAAGTAGGAACTTTATTAGGAGTTGATGAGACACGGAAGAGAAATTACAAAATCTCCAACGGAAGGTAGCGACGGAGAGTGAGAAGAAAGGACTAAGCATAAACTATGGTCATCAGTAAGAGGAAGAGCCCGAAATGTGATTTGCAGGTCGGGAACACTAGAATCAAGCAGACGCGGAAGTTTAGATACCTAGGAAGCGTCTTGACAGAGGACGGTAAGTGCGACACTGAGATCCGTAGACGTATTGGGATGGCCATGGACGCACTTCAAAAGCTGGGTAGAGTATTGCGAGACAGGAGGATTTCTTTGGTAACAAAGAAAAGAATACTGAGCTGTCACGTGACATCTGTCCTTCTTTACGGCAGCGAATGTTGGACGATTCCCTCAAAGATGAAGAAGAGACTCGAGGCGACAAAGATGTAGTTCTACAGAAGGATGCTAAGGATATCATGGACCGAGTGTGTGAGCAGCGATGAGGTCTTGGAGAGGTTGTCAACAAGGAGGAGGCTTATACTTAACATCAAGAAGAGGAAGCTGAATGTTGGACGATTTCCTCAAAGATGAAGAAGTGACTCGAGGCAACAGATATGTGGTTCTAGAAAAGGATGCTAAGGATATTATGGACCGAGCGTATGAGCAAAGATGAGGTCTTAGATAAGTTAAAAACAAAGAGGAGGTTTATACTTAACATCAGGAAGAGGAGGCTGAATGTTGGACAGTCTCCTCAAAGATGAAGAAGAAATTCGGGGCGACGGAGATGTGGTTCTACAGAAGGATGTTGAGGATATCATGGACCGAGTGTGTGAGCAGCGATGAGGTCTTGGAGAGGTTGTCAACAAGGAGGAGGCTTATATTTAACATCAGGAAGAGGAGGCTGAATGTTGGACGGTCTCCTCAAAGATGAAGAAGAGACTCGAGGCGACGGAGATGTGGTTCTACAGAAGGATACTGAGGATATCATGGACTGAGCATGTGAGCAACGACGAGGTCTTAGATATGTTACAAACAAGGAGAAGGATTATCAGGAAGAGACAGCTGAAATTTCTGGGACACATAATGAAAATGGAGGGCCTAGAGAATCTGATACTCACAGGTCGAATAGAGGGAAAGAGAGACAAGGGAAAACAACGCGTGTCATACCTGGCGAGCTTGAGCAGGTGGATGACAGAACGTGGTCTGTGGGAAGAAGCAGAGGGAAGGAACTTGTTGAGAGCTGCAAGGGATAGAGAGAAGTGGAGAGCCATGATCGCCTACGCCCTGAAAGGACATGGCACATAAAAAGAAAAAAATTCCACATCCTGAATTTTTATGATGGATTCAGGTTAAAGTGACGTCACTGCTTCCATTCCAGTTCCAGATTATAGTTTCTCTTTTCGAAAGGATTATCTTGAGTCTCATTTCTTGGAACAGAATCACAAACAATGAACTGTACCAAATAACAGAAACCACATCACTTGAGGACTAGCAACGAAGAGAAAATAATGACATAATCAAGATGTTAACATTCGACATCACTTCAAATGGAAAAAGTCGGAATGAAATCCCCATCAATAATAGAAAGATCGATAACATCTACTGGAATTGAGAAATCTTTTTTTCCTTTCAATTTCATGAATTTCAACGAAAACAGCTAAAATGGATAGTACATGAAACGTGAAGAGAAAATAATAACATAATATTGTTAACGTTCCACATCAATTCAAATAGAAGCTTTTAAAGGAAACCCTGATCAGTACTGGAAAGATCGATAACAGCTACTGGACTTAAGAAACCTGTTTTTCTAAAAAAAAATGTTTTTGAAGACAAAGATTTTAAGAGAAAAATTTAATTTCAACCAAAAACAGAGCTGGCTCTTCGGTCACTGAATGCCAAATGTTTCCTTATAGGTGATGTAATGAATATGCATACACCTGGGTTCTCCCTCACAGTAATATGATTGGCTGGTGTCAGCCATAAATACAGACTGATGTGGAGGTACATGGACGACGCCTATGGACTACGCCTATTGCCTAAGCCTATTGTCTACCACTACGACGAGGTCCAGTCCATTACTAGATGTTAGATTGTCCAGCCCGATTACAGTAGACAACAACCACTTTGCTACTTCGAATAAATATATCCCTGTCCGGGATATATCAATAGGTTAATAGGTCCGGGATATATTAATAGGCTAATAGTAACAGTATCATTACTATTCAATATACAGTTTATTCGTTCATCAATAATTACTGAAAGTTTCGATTAAATAGGATAATTCTCTGTTTTTTTTTTTTTGTTTTTTTTTGGCAATATTTAAAAACGGGGTACTTTTTTGTTTTCATTTAGTAAAAAAAGTAAGCCATCAATTTTGGTAGGGCTATTTTATCGCCCAGAAATGGTCGACTCTTTCCTGTCTGACTTTTAAGAAAAAAATCTTCGTTAAACACAGGAGCACCCACACGTGTGTGTGTGTGTGTGTGTGTGTGTGTGTGTGTGTGTGTGTGTGTGTGTGTGTGTGTGTGTGTGTTTTTGATGCTCCTTCAAATAAGTCTAGGGCTCTTTCAAGGTTCTCTTGCCTCCCCCAATCTATGATACGCCCCCCCCACTACCCTACTACATCTCAATTTTCACAAAGTCGTATTCATATGAAACACAAATTTTATTGAAACCTAATCATGTACAATAATGGATCACATGCAATGTACGTGAACAATTCAGTTAGAGAAATAGAAAATAAATACAATGTATCTAAATACAAATTAGAGATATGTCATAATAAATCATTTCATTATAAAGAAATAAACAATGTTTTAACCTGTCCTGGGTATGACGATAAACTACATCCGCATCCTGGGTAAGAAGATAAACTACATCTGGCAGCAAGGATTCTGATCAAGAGGTTTTGAGGAGCGTGGAACCCCCTCTTAATTACTGGTGTTCCCAGGTCCACCCTGACCCGGGGGGTAGCACCTGTTAGGGTCCCAGCTATGGGCAAATAGTTAACACACAAACTTGGGTCAAAATACTATGAATAATGGATCTTATGCAATGTAGGTGAACAATTCAATTAGAAAAATAGAAAATACATACAATGTATATAAATAAAAATTAAAGACATGTCATAATATATACTTCATCTGAAATCAACAATGTTTTGCGTAATTTTTAACATCAACTTGATATATATATATATATATATATATATATATATATATATATGCATGATGCTCATCAGGGTCGGTGCAAGAGTTTTGTACCCTCCAATCTGTGATACACCCTTTCCCACTCAACTACGTCTCAATTTTCATAAGGTAGTATTTATAAAAAATAAATGTTATTGTAATTTAATTATGTACAATAATGGATTATATGCAATATAAATGAATAATTCAACTAGAAAAATTGAAAATAAATACAATATATCTAAATACAAATTAGAGACATGTCATAATAGATGATTCCATCTTAAATAAATCAACAATGTTAGGCGGCAATTTTTAACAACTTAATATTTTTCTTGTTAAAGAGTTGAATAACATCCAATATTATGGATAAAAAATATTGAATTTTAAAAAATATTTTTCCGAGACTTTAACGTGAGCAAAAGAAATTCACGGATTTGGACGAAAAAAATAAAGAATCTAAGAATGACGTCAAAATTAGCGAAAGTTTTTTATCCTTTAATAGTTGTGTATAATTTGGAGGTAGAAAAAAGCAGATGTTGATAAGATATTGGAGGTCACAAAGCACTGTTGGGGCCCGCAGTCAGGTTTAAACCCTGTCGGTGGGGAGTGGGGTAGTAAGTGTCGGCCTTGAAATTACTGCGGGGTCACATCACGGTACACGTGTAAAGAAGAACATACTGATTTTATAAGTCGAATATATATATATATATATATATATATATATATATATATATATATATATATATATATATATATATATATAGGTGCGATGCACATTTTTTTTTTCAATATATTTTTGTGTAATTTTGGTAAATATAGCTGTTAAAAATTTTAACAGATATATTTACCAAAATTAACTTAAAATGAGATGTCAGTGTTATTTTTATTTTATTGCAGTTTAGACGACAATTTATCTATCGCACACACACATATATACACTCACACACACACACACACATATATATATGTGTGTGTGTGTGTGTATGTGTATATGTATGTATGTATATATATTGTTATATTTATTTCAATACCTATACTCGACTGGTATAAAAAATAGATATGAGAAATGAGATGTCAGTGTTATTTTATCTTAACACAATTTAGACGACAATTTATCTATCGCACCAATATTTATATATATATATATATATATATATATATATATATATATATATATATATATATATATATGTTTATTTTAATACCTATACTGACTTCTATAAAAAAAAATAAGATAATGCATTTTGCAAGTAGAAATATATTTAAACAAACTGGTATATGGAGAAAAAACTTTGGAAAAAAAAAAAGACTAAAATTATCCGAGTAGGTCGAAAAGTTAGTCAAAAAAAAAAAAAATATATATATATATATATATATATATATATATATATATATATATATATATATATGTATATGTATGTATGTATGTATATTCTAAATATGTGTTCCAGATGTTCTAAAAGGTCCTTTCTTTATCTGTAACGTCGTCCCCACGAAGGGAGATTTGAGATGATACATTCACTGTCCTTGGCCTAAAAGTCGACGCGGTCTTCTGTCTGAAGGCACAGATAGCCTCGTATAAGCTGCTGAAGACACAACGAAACACTTGTATATCTAGGACACATGCAAATACACCCACACAAACGAACGTACATAAATGTACATACATCCACACAGAAACACATACATGCACCCTTTTACACAAACACATAAGTAGAAACCTGGAGGCAACATAAATCTGGTTCTACAGAAGGATGCTGGGAATACCATGGACGGCGCGCGTAAGCAACAAAGAACTCTCAAGGAAAATAAAATAAAACAACTATATTCATAAAAACTGACTGAATTTTCTTGGATACATAATGAGGAAGGAAGACTTGGAGATTTTGGCACGCATAGGTCAAGGAACAGCAGCTGGTCCCCTACGTGAGGAACTTGTGTGAAGAAATGGTGGAACACGAGGTACTTTGCATAAACATTCCTTCACAAACACTAACATACACTCTCATGCGCACACACGCATATTTAAACATAGTGTACATGTGTGAATGATTTGTTTTTTTTACGGTTTAACGACCTTTTGCGGGTTATTTAAAGCCAGAAAATATTTTTAGATTGTAAGAACTTTTTGAAATAATGATTATTTTTACTGATACAAGTATTACTAATTAACCCATAGGTGGGGGGGTAAAGAAGTGGATTCATTTGGCTCTCAGATTAACAATTCTGGATCGTTATCCATTACACCACTCACACATCCAAGCTTAGAGCGTCTGGTATTCCCAAGCGGTCACCCATCTAGGTAGTGACCAAGCTTGAGTTTGCTTAACTTCGGTGATCGTACAGGAACCGGTGTTTCAGCGTGGTGCAGCCGTAAACCCTGTCTGCCACCCGCACATCCAAACTTACAACACCTTGTATTACCAAGCGGTCACCCATCTAGTTAGTGACCAGGCTCGACGTTGCTTAACTTCCTTGATCGTCTGGGAAGTGGTGTTTCAACGTGATGTGGCTGTAAGACATGTACACCACCCACACATGCCAGTTTACAGCTCCTGTTATTACCAAGCGGTCACCCATCTAGGTGTTGACCAGGCCCGAGGTTGCTTAACTCCGGTCATTGTACAGGAACCGGTGTTTTAACATGATGTGGCCTTAAGCACTATACACCAGCCGCACATACAAGCTTACAGCATCTGGTATTTTCAAGCGGTCACTCATCTAAGTACTGACCAGGCTTGACATTGCTTATCTTCGGTCATTGTACGGGAACTGGTGCTTCAACCTGATGTGGCCGTAAGCTCTGTGCACCACCCGCACATTCAAGCTTACAGCACTTGTTATTCCCAAGCGGTCACCTATCTAGGTATTGACCAGGCTCGAGGTTGCTTAACTTCGGTCATTGTACGGGAACAGGTGTTTCAACCTGATGTGGCCGTAAGCCCTGTGCACCACCCGCACATCAAAGCTTGACATTGCTTAATTTCAGCGATCGGACGAGAGCCTGGAATACATGAAAATAAGTAATACTTTTGTACTGAGAACACAATCTGTTTAGCACGTTTTGGCGCCAGTCGTTTTGGCGCCAGTCGTTTTGGCGCCAGTCGTTTTGGCGCCAGACTTTTTGAAGCTGGGAAAAATGTCGAAAAAATAGAGATGCAGACAGGAGAAGACCTGAATGAATCTGTTCTTACATTTGAAAATGAACCGAATAAAACTCCATTAAAATGTTCACATATTAACAGATTTCATTTTTTTTTTTTTTTTTTTCACTAAAGTCACAGTTTTAAAAGTTTTTAAAGTTCTACCTTTGGATGATGATAATCGAATCATCATTTCCTAGCATCCAAATCAACTGGCTCCAAATCAAGTGGCGTCCAGACGACCATGCCAGACGCTAGCGCTAAAATAGCTGCGCGCAATCATCCTATTTTGAGGTCACTATATACATATAGATACACAAACCGCAACACTCAACCACCCCATTCCACACATCCCACACGCCCACACACACACCTTTGAGCATAATACTGCTTTTACTTTTATGTAAGTAACGAAGTAATCGTTCTAAGTAATGCGGTTAATCGAAATAAGTGATGCATAATTTGTTGCGAAAATAAAATAAAATTTAATCTTTCTTTTTATTAAGTCTCCCGTAAGATTATGTCCGTTGGATATAGGTGGCGGATTAACGTGAAATGCCTGCCGTATTTCGAAAATTATCCTTCAGTGTTAGGGGTTGAATGTCTTCTCTGGTCGTCGTTTTAATTGGTCTACCCTCCCCTTTGTTTGGATTGGTTAAGCGATTATTATTTTCATACAGTTTCAGAATTCGTTTCATGACATTTTGGAAAGCTCCTCCTCTTCCGCAATCTGGTTAATTTTGTGATTTTCCTAACGCCGTTTGACAACATCGACTCTTAGAAACTTGTCGGTTCGCCATGTTGGAAAATGACGTAGTGATTATAAATATTCTTTATTTGAAACTCGCTTATAAGAATTTCGGATTATGTGTGTTATTCTAACACATTTCCCGATTTGTTCCTTAATTTTGGACACTTGATATTTGATCAAAGATATAAACGAATCAAATCTCTCTCACTTATTCTAAATAACTTACAGACTTAAAGCAAAACAGAACAGCCATTTGTCTACATTTAGTGAAAATTTCAGAAAAATTATATTTATATTTTTTGAGATATCAAAGTTTTAATTATTGTCCCTTCATTTTGGACGCTACCGTATATATTATTCTTAGGGAAAATATAGATTTTAATTTTTAACAGCATTTAACTTAATATGTTTTTTTGAAGCGTTATATTACTAGAAAAGGTAGCATGGTATAAAAATCCTAATTTTTTGATTATTAGAAATGAATTTTGTTATCATCTTCTTCTATATCCCTTCAAGATGTTGGCGATCATGGCTCTCCACAATTTCCTGTCCTGTCCTTCGTAGCCCTTAATAAATGACAACTTTTGCTACATCCGCTATCCATTTATTTCAACTCGCTAGTTAGCTTATACATTGTTTTCCTCTGCCACTCTTGCCTTCAATCGGTCCTGAGTGTATCAAATTTTCCAAGCCATCTTTCCCCGTTCTCCTTCATTGATTTTGTATTTTCATTCAAGTTATATACGTTTATAAAACTCTTTTAGTTTGTTTCCTTGCAGCTTGAGTCTTTAAGGAATCTATCATTTTGGTTTCTTTGATTTCCTGTAGTTTTTAGGGCAGAATTGGAAGATGGTTCCTCCTGTAGTCGGCATTTGGATATGTTAATAACTGCGTTTCTTAACCTTTTGTGGATAGTTACATAAACAATCCAGTTCTTTGTGTCTCCCTCCTGGGTTTCTCCTTGTCCACAGGTGTATTGGATTTTTTGAAACCAAATGTATGGTTGTCGGTAAAAGGAAAGGTCAAAGATACAAACTACGAATTCGTGTCACGAAAAATCATTTATCACGGTTTTATTTAAAACAGAGTACGGAAAACACGACACCGAAATTCAAAAGCTAAATGGAATATAGAAAGATGCCTTCCAAAATCTAAGCAAAGTATTAACAAACAGAAACATTTAATTAAAAAACAAACTATTAAAATGTTATGTAATATCAGTCCTCCTATATGGCAGTGAATGTTGGACAATCTCCTCACAGATGAAGAAGAGACTTGAAGCAAGAGAAACAAAGAAAAGTGTACTGAACTGTTATGTAATATCAGTCCTCCTATATGGCAGTAAATGCTGGACAATCTCCTCACAGATGAAGAAGAGACTTGAAGCAAGAGAAAGAGAGAAAATAATACTGAAATGTTATGTAATATCAGTCCTCCTATATGGCAGTGAATGCTGGACAATCTGCTCGCAAGACCGAAGAGGAAGTGGGAAAAGGCTGGTCTTCGTTGATTATCCTAGTTTTAGTGAATTACAATCACGACCCAATCATTAATTACAATATACCAAATAAACCCAAGAACTTATCCATCACCTCTCAATCCTATATATATCACAATACCACATATTCATAGGCACCTACATCCCCCCCATTGCATCCTTGTTGGGAATGACTGCAAAAGAATCCCCCTCCCCAAATGTATAGACAAAACACAGAGATGCATACTGGGGTTTTTTCGTAGCCAATAAAAAAGGACACTTTTCTCTCTCAGACTTAGTTCTGTTTTTTTTTTTTCGTTTTGAAGCCAGAACGCTGCGATCGCTTGTGTGTATCCCCTATCAGAATTATTATGAGTTTTTTTTAACCTTTATTTTATTGCTGTTGTTTTGCCTTATTGCCGTTTTGCCTTATATATATTGTATACTCAGTATTCTTTGCCTTATATTTGCCTTATATATATTGTATACTCAGTATTCTTTGCCTTATATTTGCCTTATATATATTGTATACTCAGTATTCTTTGCCTTATATTTGCCTTATATATATTGTATACTCAGTATTCTTTTTTTATATTTGCCTTATATATATTGTATACTTTTCTTTTTTTTTTATTTTGTATTCAGTATTCTTTTGCCTTATATTTGCCTTTATATATATTGTATACTCAGTTTCTTTTTGTCCTTTCTTCTGTTTTCTTTTTTTGTTTTTTTTTATTGAATCTGCTTACATCAGTATTTGCTTACATTTAACAATGACCAATTCTTTCTTTTTATGCGCCATGTCCTTTCAGGACGTAGGCGATCATGGCTCTCCACTCCCTCTATCCTTTACAGGTCTCAACAAGTTCCTTCCCTCTGCTTCCTCCCCCAGACTACGTTCTTTCTATCATCCACTTGCTTAAGCCCGCCAGGTATGTCACGCGTTTTCTGCCCTTGTCGCTCTTTCCCTCTATTCGACCTGTGAGTATCAGATTCTTCAGGCCCTTCTTCTTCATTGTGTGTCCCAGAAACTTCTGCTGCCTCTCCTGTTGTTAAGTGTAAGCCTCCTCTTTGTATCCTCTCTAAGACCTTATTGTTGCTCACACGCTCGGTCCATATCCTTAGCATCCTTCTGTAGAACCACATCTCCGTCACCTCGAGCCTGTTCCGCAATTACTCTACATATATTGTAAATGAACTTTATTTCGAATAATTAAAAGTGACATTAAAATCAGTCTAAATACCCGCTTTTTGTAAGCAAAATTAATTTTTAAATTTTTTTTTTTTTTTTTTTTTTTTTTTTGCTATTTTCCTTCGATTAAATCCCAAATGGAAACTTTAGAAAAGATGTCTAAATTATTCCAAATTAATGACTTGGCGTTATTTGTCTCCGAGATTTAATGGCTTTGTGAACAATCGGGAGGTTAGACGTGCTGAGCAGGTCTGTCCCTATTCAGTCGCTTGGCAAACAATTCCGACCTTGTACGCTATGTTCGCCTTCAGAGTCGACCCGGGGGTTACTGTTTTTGTTCATTTGTAATCCAATCGTTGATCGGCCTTGAATAAGCTTTTACTCTTATCGGCACATTCCAGGTCGTCAGGCGGTCTGCTTCGCTGGAAGAGCGGCAAATCATTTATTTACCAGATTGTATCACAAATGAAGCTACTAAAACTTAAAATCGGTCTACGGAATACCAGAAGGGACACTATTAATTAATATTGTTTCAAATCCAAGTCTTCTTGTCTTACATCCGGTTGGTTTAGGCCGTTGGGTGGATGATTAAATACGACATGCCGCCAAAATGGAAGCGTTTTTTTTTTCAGAAATAAAAAAAAAAAACAACAAAATATCCCAAAACGCTACACCGTTTTTAAAAAACTATCAAAATCAGTGAATTTTTCGATTTAAACAAAATTTTCAGTAGGTGCTCATCAATGAACAGATTGTATTTTTTTTTAATCTTCAAGTACGGTGGAGTAATGGATAGCGGCTCGGATTGAGGAATCAGAGTACCGAGTTCGAATTCCTGTCGAATTCACTGCATTCACTTATGTGCTAATACTCTTGGGAAAGTTATATATCCTCTTCTTCTCCCCCCCCAGCAATGGGTAAATAGTAGGAAAGACCGGTTTCTATAGCCTAGGATGGCAACTGGTCTACTGCAGAAAGAAATGGCAACCGACTGCGGGAAAACCTGCCTTGTCAGTAATGTATCGAAAGATACATGATCGCCTAAGCGTGTATCACGCATGGCACATAACTGACTGACTGACCGACCCCAAGCAAGGCAATAAAGCCACTAAGACACAAGGGGTTACTGAGCGTGAGAGAATATAAGAAAAACATTATTAAGGAGATAGGTAGAGAGATATGAACAGACTGAGATAGATAGATATTAGCAAACTGAGATAGATAGAAAGGTAGATAGGTATGAACAGACTGAGATAGATAGCAAACTGAGATAGATAGGTAGATGGATATTACCAAACTCATATATATATATATATATGTATATGTATATATAGATGCGAATAAACTGTGATAGATAGATAAATAGATATGATCAAAA